TTAGCGAAAGACACCGATTAATGTAACACGCTGTTAATTAGAGCTAAGGAAGATTCCCCCGTGGTGTGGCGCTGCGTCAGAGAGCGGCCGACTGGAGCTTTCCCTCTACTCCTGTCTCGCACCAAGCTTCTCCTGCGGCCCGATAACACCAGTCACAGGGGCCTAATGTCATGGGAGCGCAGCAAAGCAGACAGGGGGAAGGGGCATGGAGCGGGCTCTGTGAAGTGAGGGGATGTGGGGAGCCATTAGAGGGGGTACTCAGCTACCAGGAGTGGTAGGGTTGGTACTGAGGAGTCTGGGGGGACACCGTGTGGATTTTCGGAGTGAACAGGGGTGAATTTTGGAGCACCAAGCAGTGGGCTGAACGTGTCAGCAATTCCTTCCAGGGTGGCTGATTCCAAGCTGGGACTTCGGGAGACCCGGTGTGATCGTTCCAGTCAGCACAGGGTGTGAGGGAGGGAGCCGGAGAGAGCCACAGGTTCGGTCTGAGTCCAGCCGCCTGCGCAAAGAATTCCCTTTATGTTCACTGCGTCTCTTCTCTCCCTCCAGGAAACAGGTGACTCAGGGCAGTCCGAGCACAAGGGTGAAAGACCCCCAGGCCACTCAGTACCCAACTCAGGGAGGCGCACACCACAGTAGCTTGCAATGGTAGATCGGGATTCGCATTCAGAGGCATCCGGTGCCTTGAGAGCTGCCCCCAAGATGGGTTTCCATCACCCCACTGCCATGGGCAGGGGCTTAAAGCTATGGTGTAGGCAGTGAGTTATATGGCCCATGGGGCTTGAGGTCGGGGGGGGGGGTACCGGCAGCAGTGAGCAACCTGGTCCCAGTCTGCTCTGCTCCACTCCTTTCCCAAAGCCCCCACCCTGCCTCTTCCTGCCCTGGCTCTGCCCCCTCCTCATCCCAATTCCCCTTCTCCCTAGCCCTTGCCTCATCCTGCCTCTTTCCAGCTTCCGCCCCTCCCCGGAGTGACATTGGTGGGGCAGGCTGGGGCTGAGTCACTCACTGCTGCCAGCACCAAGTCCCTGCACCCTGTGTCCCCCTGAAATGGGGGGCCCCCAAAGCGCCGTCTAGGGCTGGTTGCCCCTGTCTGGCCTATGACACTGTTCTGGGCACCACCAAAAATGATACAAATCTGACACCCATGGTCACGGGGGATGGAGGGTCCCTGCCCCTCCCGTTTCTGAGCAGCACTGGCTGCAGGTTCCCGACTCTCCACGGCACCCACAAATGGGCGGCTGAGGGAGAAGCTGCAAAGCACTATGGGGAATCCCTCCTACCCGGCCTACTGCATCTCCCACTCCACCACACCCTGTCCTGCGAGGAAGGCGGCCCAAAGACCCCAAAAGGGGCCACGTGGGAGTGACTCTAGTTGCAGCTAAGAAAAAGGGGCAACGCCAGGCTCCATCTCCCCACAGGTAGGCCCAGAAGGGAGTCCCCATGGGACAACGGCTAAAGCCTCTAGGGAAGGGAGTCTCCATGGGACAACGGCTAAAGCCTCTAGGTTGGGTTACAGCAACCCCATGCCTAGAAAGTCATGGCTCTTGCCCCCCCATGCTGGAGTGGGGAGGGATCTATGGCTACAGGGCAGGCCTGTCTCTCTCTTCAAGCTGGGCTGGTGGATGATTCGGAATCAAGATTCCCCTGCATTCACACGGCTCGCACGGAGCCCCTGGGGAGGACGCATGTAAGATTGGCAGTTCTTGGCTCTTCTGAACCTGGAACGAAAAGGAAATTCAGGGCAGGCCCCTCGGGGCGAGGACTGAAGAGAAACCCTAAGCGGCATGGGGTTCAAAGCCAGTCCATCCAGTTGGCCCCCTCTCCGCGGCTTGGCACACATCAAAGGCCTGGGAGGAAGGGAACACGAAGCA